AAAAAGATTATAATTTTTAATTCTAATATTTCCAATAATTACAAGTCTACATATTATATAAATGATAAGTTTGTCCTTGTGGCATTTTAAAACACTCTGTATAGACCTGTTTTTTTTTATTGAATCAGAATTCAGTCCATTAATTTCATTTCAACAATGACAAATGGGAAGATTAAGAAAATGTAACATTTATAAATTCTATTTTGCTTCACAACTTCTTGGTTTTTTAACTTTATTTTCAGAATTTGCAAAAGGTAATCAAGTCACGGATATTCGAGCTAAATAGAGATGTGGAGTTTAGACTGAACATCAGACTCAGCAGATAATACCAGGACTACCAGGACATTGAGAGGGGTGAGATATAGTCACAGTCGAGTCCCTTAATCCCAGCTCAACCAAAACATGAGTAACATTAAAGTAAAGTAAAGTACTTATTTATTTATTTATCACCTTTTTTTCAGAACTGTTTATTTACAAAAGTTTCTTTTAATTACTTCCATGATAAAGGAAATGATAAAATACTTTACTTTATTTTTACTCCTCTTTAATTTTTTAAATACTGCATTAGTTCATTAAATTATTATTTTCTATTTATTTGTGTACTGTAAGGCTTTATTCTCAAAAAGTTGCTTTTTCTAATTTGCTTCTTTCAATTTCTATTCAATACTTTCTCCTAAAATTGTAATTCTCTTTTAATATACTTTAACTGATTTTCTTTCATACTTACTTTAAAACATTCCTTAATGTTCTTTATTTTAAATTTTATGTTCATTAAGACCTTTTTGGAAATCTTTTCTTTTCTTTTTATTCTTATTCCAAGCTTTAACTTTCTTTTTTCTTATTTAGTAATTAATGCGAACTATCCACTGTAAAAACATCCCGGTGATGGAGAGGAAACCCTATGGTGTTTGGAATCAATTATAACCTCAAGACAATCGAGGACCTTAAGGACTGCTAGGGTATCAAGAAGAAACGAGACGTTGTCGAAGCACATTTGAGTCTATCCAGCTAAGCCAATGCAAGGAATATAAATAATGCAATGTAAGATTTCATTTACTAATCACATTTCTTCAAAATTTGTCCTTTTTTCAGATCACCTTTTTTGTATTAAGTTTTATCTTTATTTTAAATCCTTTTTAAGATCGTTTTGCAAATCTTTTCTTTCTTTTTAATTCCCATACTAAGCTTTAACTAGATGCAAAATCTTTTCTTTTTTAGTAATTAAAGCGGATTATCCATTGTACAACCCACCCCGGTGACGTCCAGCAAACCCTATGGAGACGTAGAAACAACTAAGACAAAACAAGGAATACGAATGCAATGTAAGATTTTATTTACTAATTAAATTTCTTCAAAATTTGTCCTTTTTTTCAGATTTTTTTATTCTTTGCTTGTCTAATTTTATTTCTATTTTATCTTTTTACTTGTCTTTAGTTAGTTTTACTTTATTTATGTTTCTACTTTGATTTAAAACTTAACTTCAAAACTCTTCCTCTCCTTTCTTTTTACTCCTCTTGTACGTGTCTAATTTTATTTTAATTTTATAGTTTTACTTACCTTAGACTTTTTCTCAAATTTACCAATTCTTTTAGTTAATTTTACTTTATTTGTGTTTGTACTTAAATTTAAAATTTAACTTTCAAACTTTGTTTTCAGAAGTTTTTTTTTAATCTTTTGCATGATAAAGGTAAAAATCCTCTTCTTTCGTTTTACTCCTCTTAATTTTTTTAAATATTGTAGTAGTTCATTAGATCATTGTTTTCTGTTTGTACTGCAAGATTTTATTCTCAAAAATTTGCTTCTTTTCATTTACTTTACGAATTTGTACTTATATTACTTTCTCTTTATTTCCTTCAATACTCTTTCTTAATTCTGTCTATAAAGCTATATTTGCATGTATACTTCGAATTTTCTTTTATACTCACTTTAAAACTTTTCTTAATAACCCTTTCTATTAAATTTTATAGTTATTTTAAATCTTTTTGCAAATCTTTTCTATCTTTTTAATTCCCATACTATGGTTTAACTTGATGCAAATTTTTTCTTTTTTTTAGTAATTAAAGCGGACTATCCATTATACAACCCATCCTGGTGACGGTTAGTAAACCAACCCTATGGAGCGTGTAGACAGCTAAGCCAAGACAAGGAATACGAATGCAATGTAAGATTTTATTTACTAATTAAATTTCTTCAAAATTTGTCCTTTTCTTCAGATTTTTTAATTTACCTTATCCTAGTTTTATTTTTTTATGTATACTTACCTTAAATTTTTTCTCATTTAACAATCCTTTTAGTTTGTTTTACTTTATTTATATCTTTACTTATTTACTTTTCTTTGAGTTTTGTAGATTCTGATTTTTTTGCTTGGTATAGAACTTTTTCTTTAAATTTTTCATTCATAGTTTAATTTTTGTAATTTACTTTATCTATACTTACATTTCTGTAAAGTATTTGCTTCAAAACTTTGTCTTAAAACTTTATTTCAGTTTATTCCTACAACCTTTTTTACATTTCTTACATTAAAAATTTTCTTGATAATCTCTTTTTTGTCTATTAATTTTAACTTCATTAGATTTTTTCACATTAAAACTTTTTTCAAATTGTTTCTTTCAGTAATTAAGACGGGACGTCTGGATCAGCAGGGATCAACCAAAGCCGTGCAGTCTGAAAGCTACCCAGGACCAGCGATGGGCATCGAATCCAATGGAGATGTACAGTTCGACGAAGGCATCAATGACCATCAGAGAGCATCAAGACCACGAGGACATCGCGGGAGTCGAAGAGCGGACTCCGGGATCCGAAGACTTCGGGGTCCTGAACCTCCAGGATTGGAGGACATCGAATTCCAGGATCTCCAGGTACGAATACTTCGAACTTTGAAGGCTTCGAAGTTCGAACATCACGGGGTGCGAGACCTCGAAATTGGTAAGTCTGTGGGGTTCAACGCCGCGATAAGAAGTCTTTGTACTTCAGGGTTTCCAGGGTTCGAAAATCCAGGGGATGGAAAACGTCAGAGGTTCTTTGGCGTTTTCTCTCTTCGAAATTTTCGAATTTTGGGCACTCGGAAAAGTGCGAAACTTCTAATCTCGAAACATTGAACTTCACAGATTTTCCAATTTCGAAATTTTGTACGTCGGGATCTTCACACTTCGAAGTCTTTGAAATTCGAAGTAATCGCACTTGGAATCCTGGAATATCGACGTCCTGCAATCTTGGAGTTTCTGGACCTCGAAGACTCCGGATCCCGGATCGGGGGAGGGTGGGNGGACACGTGTCCCCTGTCCGCGCTCGGGACCATTTTTAGCAGGATTGAATACCTCCCAAGTGGTAACTGCCACCTTTCAATGGCTAGAAACTGTCTTCCAAGTAGTTAGAAGTACCTTATAACATCTTGGATCGTCATTCAGAGGCTCGACTTATACCTTTGCAAATAGAGACACCTTCAAATGGTTTGATGATGATCATATCTGTGGAAGATGTGGTACAAGTACCACACTTCCACGGATAGGATCACCTTCGAACCACCTGAAGGTGTTCCTGTTCGCAGAGGGATAAGTCTTACCTATGAATGATGATCCTCGATGTTGTAAGGGACTTCTAACCCTTCGAAGACCGTTCCAGCCGTTGGTAGATGGCTCTTACCGTTGGGAGCTATTCGCACCCGTTAGAAATGGTCCCTCGTTGACGATGGTAATCTCCCACGATGAACGATGTTCCTGAAGTGGTCCAAGGATTGGTGATCCTCCCACGGAGATTTCACTGCTTCTCGAATATCTGTAAAAAAGTTTTGAATTTTGTAATAGAAAGAAAATATATGCAAAAAAAAGGAAGAATAAATAAAAATAAAGTAATGTATAAAAAATAAAAGTAATAAATTAAGTGTTAAATAAAAAAATTGATTTAAACAGAGCTAAGAAACATATGAAAAGCTTGAAATATATAAAGTATAAAACACGAAGAAAGTAAAGTTATGAAAAAATCATTAAAATAAGTACCCGTTAGAAGTAGTCCATCTTTGTTGACGAAGATGATCTCCCATGATGAACGATGTTCCTGATGTGGTCCATCCCATGCTGGTCAATTTTCCTTGAATGTCTGTAAAAAAGTTTTGAATTTAGTAATAGAAAGAAAATATCTGAAAAAAAAGGAAGAATACATAAAAATAAAGTAATGTATAAGAAATAAAAAATAAAAGTCATAAATTAAGTGTAAGAAAAGAATTGATTTAAACATAGTTAAGAGACATCTGAAAAGTAACCAAAAAACAAAATTAAGTTCTGGGAAAAGTTTGAGTAAATAAAGTATAAAACAGGAAGCAAGTAAAGATAAGAAAAGTAATTAAAATAAGTACTAAAGAAAAAGGTAACTACAAGCTTATACCTCTGTTAACGTATTCTGGCGATCCTGGAAGGGCCCCATTACCTGCGGGACCGGTTTAGCAGAATTGAATACTTCCCAAGTGGTAACCACCACCATTACATGGTGAGAAACTGTCTCCAAGGAGTTAGAACTACCTTATAACATTTTGGATCTTCACTTAGGGGCTTGACTTATACCTCTGCAAGTAGAATTTACCTTCAAGTTGTTTGATGATGATTATATTTGTGGAAGATGTGGTACAAGTACCACCCTTCCGAAGGTAGGATCACCCTTACTTAAAAGTTCGGAAAAGAATAAGTCTTACCCGTGATTGATGATTCTTGATGTTGGAAGGGACTTCTAACCTTTGGAAGACGGTTCCAACTATTGCTTAACGGCCCTAACTGTTGGGAGCTATTCGCACTAGTTAGAAATGGTCCCTCGTTGTTGATGAAGGTGACCTTCCACGATGAAGGATGTTCCTGAAGTGGTCAAAGGATTGGTGATCATCCCTCGATGGAAAATATCTTTCGAGTGTCTGTAAAAAAGTCATGAATTTGTAAAAGTTAGAAAATATCTGAAAAAATATAAGTAAGAAAAGATTTAAACTAAACAAAAGTATATATCCTGGAGGAGCCTGATTACCTGTGGGACTATTTTAAGTAGAAGTAAATATCTCCCAAGTGGTAACTGCCACTATTCCATAGTCAGAAACTGTCTTCCAAGTACCTAGAAGTACCTTATATCAACTTAGATCGTCATTCAGAGGGTCGACTTTGCAAACAGAAACACTTCCTAACTGTTTGATGATGATCACATCATGGAAGATGTGGTACACGTACCACACTTCCACGGATAGGATCACCTTCGAACCACTTAAAGGTGTTCGTATTCGCGAAGGGATAAGTCTTACCTTTGATATTGGATGGGACTCCTAACCCCTGAAAGACGGTTACAGCCATTGGTAAATGAGCTTTACGATTGGGAGCTATTTGCACAGGTTAGAAATGGTTCCTGGTTGTTGACGAAGGTGATCTCCCATGACGAACGATATTCTTGAAGTGGCCCAAGGTTTGATGATCATCCAAGGATGGTTGATGTTTCTCTATTGTCTGTAAAAGTCTTGAAAATAGCAAAAGATAAAAAATATCTAAAAAAAATAGAAAGAGGGAATTTTTTTTTTAAATGTGTAAAAAATAAAAGTTAACGGTAATAACTTAAGTTCTATAGTAAAAAATTGAAGTAAACATAATTATGAAATATACGAAGAGGTAACCAAAAGAAGAAATTAAGTTCTGGAAAAAGTTTATAATAAATAAAGTATGAAATAGGAAACAAGAAATATTCACAAAAAGTAATGAGATTAAATACTAACGAAATAAGTAATTACAAGCTTTTACCTCTTTTGACGTATGCAGCTGATCCTGGAAGAGACCGATTACCCCCTGGACCATTTTCAGCAGAATTGGATATCTTCTAAATGGTAATTGCCACCATTCCACGGCCAGAAACTGTCTTCAATGTAATAAAAGTATTTTATAACATCTTATACAGCCATTTAGAGGCTTGACTTACACTTTTGCAAATAGAAACCACCTTCAACTTGTTAAAGGATGATCATATCTGTGGAAGAAGTGGTAAAGTTTCGAACCACTTGAAGGTGTTCCTGTTCGCAAAGGGATAGGTCTTACCTATAAGTGATGATAATGGAAGGGACTGCTAACCCTTGGAAGACGGTTCCAGTCATTGGTAGAGAAGCCCTTACTGCTGGGAGCTATTCGCACCCATTAGGAATGGTCCCTCGTTGTTGACGAAGGTGTTTTTTCCACGATGAACGATGTTCCTGAAGTGGTCCAAGGATTGCTGATCATCCTACGACGGTTAATGTCTTTCGAGTTTCTGTAAAAAGTCTTGAATTTAGTAAAAGAAAGATAATATCTGAAAAAAAAGTGGCGAAGAAAGTTTTAAATTAAAGAAAAATAAAAAAAATGTGTAAATGAAAGTAATTGTAATAAATTAAGTTTCAAACAAAATAAAATTAAGAGATTTGAAAAGTAACAATAATAAAAATGTAAAATTGAAAGCAAGTAAAGATCAAAAAAAGTAATGAAGGTAGGTAAGTACTAAAAGAAGAACTAATTAAAAGCATATGCAACTGTACCACTCTTGACGCGTGCCGGTGATTCTGGAAGAAGCCGATCACTGACTGTTGGGTTACTGGACTAGAAGATGTAGCTGAAAGTATAAATGTAACATTTATAACATCACATTCAAGAAAATAATAGTCTGTCAAGTGAGGAAATAAAATTCTGAAAGTAGTGTTAATGGAGATAAAAACAAAGGAGCATTACGAAAAAGTTAAACAAATTAAAAGAAATGAAGTTCTAGGAATTTATCTTGAAGGAAAGAGAAGGGACAAGACAAGGTAAGTAGCAACGTTATGAAAGAATTATCTATTAAAATAAGTAAGACAAGATATTAGACTGTAACCCTAAGAAAACAAATGTGCTCTAAAACAAGTGGGTAAGCAGAAAATAAATTAATAAAAACCTACCTTTCCTCAAATTCCCTTCAGTGATGATCCCGGAATTAATCGATTGTCGAATGTGGCTCATGACCGACGACTAACTGCAAAATGCACCTGAAACAATAATGTTATTAGATTTGAAAACAAAGCCTTGAATACATAAAAAACCTACATAAATTTTAGACCTGTTCTACGATAAAACATCCATAGGTATATAAAAACGAATAAACATGTGAACAACGTAACGTATTATTGACAACAGAATCTTAGTGTAACTTGAATGAAAGGTAATTCATCACAACACGAAAATTACGTGAACAGGTAAAAATGCCATCCGAACCCGTTAAATAATTACATTAACAGACCCAAAAGGCGAAAGTTATGTGAGAAAATATAAAAATGAACTTTCGACTTGTTAAACAATTATTCTGTAAATTCCAAAAAATGAATGCAATACATGAAAACGAGAGGAACAATGTACTTCAAACAGTTTCTATCTACAATTTAAATTAAAGTACATTTAACTGTTGAAAGTGCGCAACTTAATTTTCGACTTATTAAACAATTATCCTGGAAAGTCTAAATGGTTACACGTATATATAAACATGTGAAGAAAAGCGTACACTAACGACAATCTTTCACTGCTGTTTAAATTAAAGCAGATTTCATTATTAAAACGAGAAAATTACGTAAAAATTGGAAACTTAAAAGTGCACAACTTAATTTTCGACTTGTTAAAACAATTATCCTGGATATTCTAAATGGTTAAGGTAATATAAAATATATGAGGAAAAACGTACTAACAACAATTTTGGACAGCTGTGAAAATTAAAGTCCTAGAAATGAAGCAATTTTCAAAATCCTCACCATTCATTACATACCCTAGCAATACACCTAGATTTGCAAATTGCTTTATCCATAACAGTAAACAGTACAGATAAAAAAATTGCAAGTATGTTTAATTTGACCAGAAATTACGTTTCATTGTTTAAAACAAATTATGAATTAGCTTGTGAATTCAACGAGCCTCAGAGTTGTCATACCGTGCGGATTGAGAGAGTGAGCATTCGGATAGAAGAAGGCAGGTAGTACGCTCGAATAATTAAACATTTTTAATATATAAAACTCATTATTTTACACGAAAGCTCATTGTATTTAATTTAGAAAAATACGGTAAATGTTTTTCTGGAGCAAAGTGTCCTAGAAATGCAACAATTTTCAAAATCCTCACCTCTCTCAACGTTCATTACATACCCTAAAAATACACCTAGATTTGCAAATTACCCTTTCTCCATAACATTAAACAGTACAGATAAGAAAAGTGCAAGTACGTTTAATTTTACCAGAAATTACGTTTTATTGTTTAAAACAAATTATGAATTAGTTTGTAACAGATAGAGAGAGCGAGCATTCATATAAAACATTAATTACCATTTTCAAAAATTAAATACATCTAAATTGTTGAAGACATAATTTTTTCGATTTCAAAAAGTGCAAAACATTCCGTATTTAAATCAGATCCTTATCCACCAGTGAAACGCCGAAATGATCGGACTTGCAGCTTCGAATTTTCGAAACTGCAGGCCTGACCATTTCGACGCTGTCACTGAGGGAGAAGGATAAATACGGAGTCGCGGTAAATTATATAAGCTAGCTATCCAGCCGCTCTTTCCGAAGCCTCTACCTCATACAATGAACCACCTAGGCGCCATCAGCAGTTCATCTGAGTGAGACAACTTACTCAAGTGACCGTATAAGATACCTAAGGCTAGCTGCTACGAGC